GGAGGATGGCGGGGAAGATCAGGAGGAGGCGGAGGAGGAGGTGGGGGAGGAGGAGGAGGTGGAGGAGAAGGAGGAGGAGGAGAAGGAGGGGGAGGAGGGGGCATCTTGGGAGCCTCTGGGGACACTCTTGGAGCCTCCTGGGAGCTTCCTGGGAGCCTCTTGGAGGCTTCTTGGGGGCCCTCTTGGAGGCCTCTTGGGGGGCCTTCGTGGGCTTCTCGGGAGGCTCTTTGGCCATCTTGGCGGGCTCCTAGCCCGTTTGACGCCGTCGGAAACCGTTTGGGGGACCACTCTGGGCCGACTTCCGGTCCTCTTCGGGTGCTCCAGGGCCATCTTGGAGGCCATTTTGGACGTCTTGGAGGCCTCTTGGGCCGTCTTGGGGCCCTCTTGGGCCAGTCTTACAGGCCTCTCGGGCTGCTTTGGGGCAATCCTCGAGGCCTCCTGGGGCGATCTTGGGGCCATCTTTGGGGGCCTCTTGGGCCGTCTCGGGCCGTCGGAAGGCCGAAAAGAAGCAAATGCCACAATCTTTGAAAAACCGAAGGAACATCCATGATTTTGGCCTCTTCGGGCCTTCTGGGGGCTCTCTTGGAGGCCTCTTCGGCCATCTTGGAGCCATCTTGGGCCGCCTTGGTGGGCTCCTGGCCCGTCTGACGCCGTCGGAAGCCGTCTTGGGGGCCTCTCTGGGCCGACTTAGGGCCTTCTCGGGGTGCTCCAGTGCAGTCTTGGGGCGTCTTAGAGGCCTCTTGGGCCGTCTTTGGGCCCTCTTGGGGCCGTCTCGGGGGCCTGGAGGCCCTCGTGGGCGATCTTGGGGCGATCGTGGGAGCCTCTGGGGCCGTCTTGAGCCGTCGGAAGGCCGAAAAGAAGCACATGCCAAAATCTTTGAAAAAACAAATGAAAATCAATGATTTTGGCCTCTTCGGAGGCCTCTTGGGCTGTGGAGGTCTCTTGGGGGCCTGTTGGGCCCTCTTGGGCCATCTTGAGGCCATCTGAGGCCGTCTGGGGTGCATCTTGGGCCGTCTTGGAGGTGTCCTGGGGCCATCTTAGCCCTCTTGGAGGCCATCTTGGGCCATCTTGGACCCGTCTGGAGCAGGGAAAACCCTTTGCAAACGGCTCTAGAAGATCCTGGGCAACCCCGGCGGGGCGCGCCGGAGCCCCAGGGGGAGTTCTTTTCGGGAAAAAGAATCAAAACCAAAACCGAAAGGGTTCAGCACGCCATGCACCCTTGTGATGAATCGACAGGGGGCGGCGGATCGAAGACGCCTACGGCGAATCACCGCCGCCCCCTGCCCCTTTGGAAGCGCCTCTGTGGCCGACAGCTGGGCCAGAGCTTGGCCAAGCTATCGGGCCAGTTGTTCCCCGAGTCGGTTTGGAAAGACTTCGGGGAACGCATGGGGAAGTCAGAAGAGGAGGAGGGGGAGGATGAGGAAAAATGAGGAGGAGGAGGAGGAGGCCTCTTGGGAGCCTCTTGGGGCACTCTTGGGGCATCCTGGGAGCTTACTGGGGGGCTTCTTGGAGGTTTTGGGGGGCCTTTGGGGGCTTCTTGGGGGCCTCTTTGGCCGCTAGGGCGTTCCTGGCTTGTCTGACACCGTCGGAAGCCGTCTTGGGGGCCTGTCTGGGTCGTCTTGGGGTCCTCTTGGGGCATATCTGGGGCTCTTAGAGGCCATCGTGGGCGTCTTGGATGCCTCTTGGGCCGGGCCGTTTTGAGGCCCTCTTGGGGCCGTCTTGGGAGCCTTTTTGTGCCGTCATTGGGCCATCTTGGAGGCCTCTTGGGCGATCTTGGGGGCCTCTTGCGCCGTCTTGAGCCGTCGGATTCCCGAGAAGAAGCAAATGCCACAATCTTTCAAAAACCAACGGAAAATTAATGATTTTGGCCTCGTCGTGCCCTTCTGGAGGACCTCCTGGATGCCTTTCGGGCCGTCTTAGAGGCCTCTTGGGGGTCTCTTGGGCCGTCTTGGGCCATCTTGAGGCCGTCTTAGGCCGTCTTGGGTGCATCTTGGGCCGTCTTTGAGGCATCTTGGGGCCATCTTAGCCGTCTTGGATGCCTTCTTGGCCGTCTTGGAGGCCCCTTGGGCCCCCTTGGGGCCGTCTTGGGGGCCTCTTGGGGCCGTCTTGGGGGTCTCTTGGGCCGTCATGGGGTTATCTTGGAAGCCTCGTGGGCGATCTTGGGGCGATCGTGGGGGCCTCTTGTCTTGAGCCGTCGGAATCCCGAGAAGAAGCAAATGCCAAAATCTTTCAAACACCGAAGGAAAATCCATGATTTTGGCCTCGTCGTGCCCTCCTGGAGTACCTCTTGGAGGCTTCTTGGGCTATCTTGGAGGCCTCTTGGGGGCCTCTCGGGCCATGTTGAGGCCATCTTAGGCTGTCTTGGGTGCATCTTGGGCCGTGTTGGAGGCATCTTGGGGCCATCTTAGCCGTCTTGGAGGCCATTTTGGGCCGTCTTGGAGCCGTCTGGAGCAGGAAAAGCCCTTTGGAACCGGGTCTGGAGGATCCTTCCGGGACCCGGCGGGACGCGCCGGAGCCCCAGGGGGAATTCGTTTGGAAAAAGAACCGAAACCAAAACCGAAAGGGTTCAGCACGCCAGGCACCCCTGCGATGAATCGACAGGGGGCGGAAGACCGAAGACGCCTACGGCGAATCACCGCAGCCCCCTGCCTTTTTGGAAGCGCCTATGTGGCCGAACGTTGAGGCCAGGCCTGCCAAGCTAGCGGACCATGTGTTCCCCGAATCGGTTTGGAAAGCCTTCGGGGAACATGTGGACATTTTGAAGGTCATCTTGGCCGTCTGGAGGCCATTTTGACCCTTTCGGGCCTTCTTGGAAGACGTCTTGGAGGGCTCTTGGGCCGTCTTGGAGGCCATCTTGAGTGTCTTGGAGGCCTCTTGGGCCGTCTTGGGGGCCTCTTGGGGCCGTCTTGGGCCTCTTGGGCGATTTTTGGGGGCACTTGGGCCGTCTCGGGCCGTCGAAAGGCCGACAAAAAAGCAAAGGCCACAATCCTTTACAAATTCATGGGAAATTTATGATTTGGGCCTTTTCGGGCCTTCCTGGAGGCCCTCTTGGAGGCCTCTTAGGCCGTCTTGGGTCATCTTAGGGCCATCTTCGGCCGTCTTGGTGGGCTCCTGGCCCGTCTGACGCCGTCGGAAGCCGTTTGGGGGGCCTCTCTAGGTCGACTTGGGGCCCTCTTGGAATGCTCCAGGGCCGTCTTGGATGCCATCTTGGGCGTCTTAAAGGCATCCTGGGCTGTTTTGGGCGCCTCTTGGGCCCGTCTTGGGGGCCTCTTGGGCCGTTCTGGGGTCATCTTTGAGGCCTCTTGGGCGATCTTTTGGGGCTCTTGGGCCGTCGGAAGGCAGCAAAGAAGCAAATGTCAAAATTCTTCAAAATCCCAAGGGAGATGCATATGTTTTGCTGCTTCTGGCCTTCATGGAGGCCCTCTTGGAGGCCTCTTGGGCCGTCTTGGGCCAGCTTCGAGCCAACTTCGGCCACCTTGGTGGGCTCCTGGCCCGTCTGACGCCGTCGGAAGCCGTTTGGGGGGCCTCTCTGGGCCGACTTAGGGCCCTCTTGGGGTGCTCCAGGGCCGTCTTAGAGGCCATTTTGGGTGTCTTGGGGACCTCTTGGGTCGTCTTTATGCCCTCTTGGGGCTGTCTTGGGGGCCTCTTGGGCAGTGCTGAGGCCATCTTGGAGGCCTCTTGGGCGCTCTGGGGGCGATCTTGGGGGCCTCTTGGGCCGTCTTGGGTCGTCGGAAAGCCGAAAAGGAGCAACTATTGATTTTAGCCTCTTCGGAGCCTCCTGGAGGACCTCTCGGAGGCCTCTTGGGCCGTCTTGGAGGCCTCTTTGGCACCTGTTGGGCCGTCTTGGGCCGTGGAGGAGGTTTCTTGGGCGGACTTGGAGGCATCGCCTCCTCTCTTAGACCGTCTTGGAAGCCATCTTGGAGGCCGTCTTGGAGCCGTCTAGGGCAGGAAAACCCTCGGCAACCACCTCTGAAAAATCCTGAGCAATCCTTTCGGGTGACATGCAGGACGCGCCGAAGCCCCAGGGGAAGTTCTTGTGGAACCAAAACCGAAAAGGGTTCAGCACGCCAGGCACCCCTGCGATGAATCGGCAGGGGGCGGCGGATCTAGTGGCCTTCGGCCCATCCCGCCACACCGTGCCTAGGTTTCGGGTCGGGGGCTTCTTGGATGCTTGTCGGGGTATCTCGGGGGGCCTCTAGGGGGCCTCCTGGGAGCAGCTTCGGAGCCTTGCGGGGGCCGTTCGGGGGCCTCTCGGGGCTACTTCTGGGCCTCTTGGGACCTTCTGAGGGTCTGCTGGCGATCTCGGTGGCTCCCTTAGGGCGGATGGCTCGAAATATCCGCTCGAGTTCCCTATCTTGGGCCAATCTTGGGGCCTTTTTGTGGGCCATTCTTGGGCGCACTATTGAGCCGTCTTGGGGCCCTCTTGGGGCATTTTGGGCTGTCTTGGGGCGATCGGGCCGTCCGTGGACGCTGTGAAAGCCGAAGAGGCGAATATGGTAAGACTTGCGATTCCTTTTGAGAATGGGATGGTTTTTGCCTCTTGGGGCCCTCTTGGAGGTGCTCTTGGGGCTCTCTCGGACCATCTTGTGGGCCATTTGGGCCGTCTTGGGGCCACATGGGGCAGTCTGGAAGCTGTGTTGGACCCTTCCGGTGCTTTCTTTGGTGATCTGAGGCGATTCTTGAGACATTTTCGATGGTTCTTGGCAGCTCCCAAGAGCTGGGGAGCTCCGAGAAGCTCCCAAGAGCTCCCGGGAGCTCCCAGCTGTGGCTGGGACTGAGGGTCTGGCCTGTAAGAACCTTATAACCCCTCTACCTCCCAGGTCTCATGGCTGCACACGCATTGGGGCACTCCGCTACGTGCTGAAGGCACGGTGGCGGATATGTGTGTGTACAGGTATTTGTGTATGCAGCGTCGTCCCGCCAATGCAGACGGCAATGGAAGGAAGGCGAGAGGGTGAGCGGGCTGGCGTGAGAGTGCCGCCGCGGCGCCGCCGCAGCAGGAGCGGGGCGTCACCGCGGTCTCGGGCGAGGTGTCGTTCCACACCTCCGGCGTGCCCCGCCCTCAGAGGGCGGGCCGTGGCGTGCCCGTCGGGGCTCGGGCGGCGCAGTCGGCCACGCGCAAGGGTGGCCCTCTGCCGGAGTGGCCTTTGGTGCGCGGCGTTCGGTTGGCGCGGGGGGGCCAAACTTGAGCACGCGGGCCAAAGCCGCGCACCCAAGGTCTCTCGTCTGGGGCTTTCTGGGTTGAGCCAACATCGCACGTGGCCTGTGCTCTGATCCTGAGTCTGCCCGCCTGGTTGGAGCCGAGGGGCTCGCCCGAACACCCGGACGGCTATCAGGTTCTTGTGAGCCTAGGGTTGTTCCGTCAACCGACCACTATACCAGCCTTGCTGATTCGACCCTCTGCATGTCCTTGAGCTCGCAAGGCTATCTATTGCAACGAGACCAGATGATTCAGCCCCCTGGACAGCATCGGGACCTGCCCGTACGTTTGCCAGACTATGTGATTACCCAAACGTTCAGTTTTCGGTGTCGTGCTGAAGTAATTGGCTTCGCTGTCTTCTCGAACGTGCTTCGCGGAGTTTAATGAGGAGCTTGTTGTTGCCATAACTGCGAAGGTGCCGTTTTTTCTTGCGTTCCGCACGCTGATTCGACAGCCCTCTCCATGTCCTGTATCAGCTGTTGTGCAGCGTTGAATGCAGCGTTGACGCGGCGGCGGTTTCTTCCATAAGTTTCTCGAAGTAAGCAGGGGGTCATCAATACTTTCGCTGGCGACACACCCAACCCTTACGCAACGCGTGGCACGAGAAGGACAGACTGTATTCGGGATGGTCATTCGATAAGGATCCATACATAAAGCGCTACTTGGGAGGCTTGCGATCTGTGCGACTCGCACGGCGCCAATCGATGGGCAAAGGTTTGGTAGCATGATGGAACACTATGAATTAGGTCCTTGGCTCGAAGGGGAAAAGGGCAAGGACTGAAGGGAGAAAGCAAATGGGGAGCTGAAACGTCAGCGAAGCAGCTGTGGGAGGAAATGGCAGCAGGAGTGGGGGCGACGACGAGAAACGGTCCGAGGAAAGAGAGGGAGGCATGCTAACAATCAGTTACAGTCAGCGCAGGAACTGCGCTTGGCCAAACTGCACGGCCAGCTGCTCAGCATCTCCCCAGCGAGTCCTTCAGCAAGGAAAAGGCGCGCAGGCGCGCCGCGAGGTCCGCGGGCGGCCCCCGAGCAAAGAATTGCAGCCCTGGGCCCCAGATCATCAGGAGATGGTCGGCCTTCGCGGCCCTGGAGAGCATCGCGCCGAGATGCAACCGCAGGCTGTCCAGGTCGCTATCGTCCTTGCGCCCCGCGTCGGTGATGGATCCGTCACGCATGGGCATGGCGCCATGGCGCTGGACCCCACCAGTCGCCTTCGAAAGTGGTGACAGCTTTGCAGATCGCAGCCGCCCCGGGGATGGCAAGGTCCAATCTTGATTTGCGGTACGGCGCCATTCCGCTTGGACCCCCGACGACCTTTGGAAGTGGCGACGTCTTCGCAACTCGCAGCCCCCCTTTCAGAGATGGCGGCGTTTGGTCTGTGTCGGCGCTCGGCGCCCACTATGCTGGCCTTCCAAAGCGCACCATGCTGGCCCTCAAACAGCCTGCGGATATAGGGGACAGCAGGCCGCAGTCTCTTAGGGATGGCGAGGTCTGATGTGAGTCAGCGTTCGGTACCCACTACGCTGGCCCTCCCAGCAGCCCTCCTCGAAAGTGGCGGCCGTTTCGCAATTCGCAACCTTCCCAAGGGTGGCGCTGTTTATTTTAACCTAATAAATTCAGTGCCCACGACGATGGACCTCCCAGCTGCCGAAGTGCAACCATTTCGCAGATCGCAGCCCCCCCCAGGGAACGGCGAGGTCTGACCTGGGGTTGCGCCCGGCGCCCACTACGATGGTCCCCACCAGCAGCCCCCGGCAGTAACGACTGTTGTCTGCTGCGTGCTGACTGCGACGGCCTTCCCAGCAGCCTTCGACCCTTGGCGACTGTTTTGCGCACTGCAGTCGCCCAGGGGGGGGGCGAAGTCGAATGTGATTTCGCGATCGGTACCCACTGCGCTAGCTCGCCCAGCAGCCTTCGAAAGTGCCCCCCGCCCCACAGCGAAGGCGAGGTGGACGTTCGGTTTGCTATCGGTACCGACTGCGATGCCCCCACCCACCCACCCCAGCAACCCTCCAGCAGTTTGAGCTGCAGCTTTGGTATTCGAGCACCTAACGCACGTCATGCAGTATCCAACCCACCCACCCACCCAGTCGATAACAGAACGCCCGCCGCCCCACCCACCCCCGTTGCAGCAACGTTTTTTGTTTGGCGCAGATGTATGCTGTTCGCAGCGCGCGCGCAACATTCTTGCAGAGTGCGCAGGCGTTCGTCCGCAGAGGCGCGGCCGCGCACTCATCGATTAATTTACCACGCACTTCGGCGTGCATAGAACACACGCCGGCTGCGGCGGCAGTTGTGGTGCACACAGGCGCGGCGCAGGCAACGGGGGTATGGACCGTGCCCGCGGTCAGAAACAACATCACATAACTACAAGCAAATGGTATGTCGAATTGATGCGCTTGGGCTGGCCATGGTTTGTTGGAGTGTGACACTGTCGGGTGCCTGGTGGTGTACACGGGCGCTGTGGTGTACTCAGGCACGCAGTGGCGACAGCCACGCAGATCTTTAGCTAGATGTGCCCACAAGGCAACATGTTTTTTGTTTCGTGGATTATTCCGTGGCGAGGAATATTCTGATGATTGCGGTGCGCTGCAACTTCTTGGAACAATTCCTGTACCACCACCGCGCCGACCACGGCGCAGTGACCACCCCGTGACCCCGTAGGGACCAGTTATTTGGGAAGGATTTGCGGCTGGCGCCGCCGACCCTGGGCGGTAGGAGGAGGGGGGATGGGGAAGAGGAGGACAAGGAGGAGGAGGAGGAGGAGGAGGAGGAGGAACAACGCTACAGGTTTACCTCATGTTTGCTTAGCGTTAAAAAGGAGGAGGAAGAGGAGGACGAAGAGGAGGAATATGAGGAAAAACATGAAGAGAAGGAGGAAGAGGGGGGCGAGGACGAGGACGAGGACGAGGACGAGGACAAGAACGAGGGCGGGGACGAGGTCGAGGACGAGGAGGAACGAAAACGGGGAGGACGAGGAGGACGACAGGCATATGCGAAAGGACAGTGAGGGGAAGGGGGGGGGGGGAGCCTTCTTGGGGCCTTTCTGGGCGCGCTCATGTGTTTACCTTGGATCTCTCAACAGGGGTTTCCTGGGCGCCTCATGGGGTCTCTTGGGGGCGTATTCGGGGGGAACACTCGACCTGTCGGTCGGCTCACTGATTCTTGGGAACACTTTGGGTCGTCTCCGGCGGGCCGTCATGGGGCCGTTTTGAGCCCAGCCGGGGCCTTCTTGCGGGCCTCTTGGGATAGGGCCCTCTCGGACGAACCCGCGGCGCAATTGAACTCGAGTCGCCAAGTGTCCCCCCCCTTCTGGAGGAGTCTTGGTCGCCGCGGCCGCACGCAGCTGGAAAATGTTGCCCCCAGGCGGCCTAAATAAATAATCGCAAACCAAAAAATGCATTTTCAATTTGATACGCTCGCGCTCCCCCCCCCCGAGCACGAGCTTCTGCTTATGGGCCTCGTCGGGATTCTCGCAGTGTGCGCGGGCTCTGTGGTGTACATATACACGTGTTGCCCACAGGCGCCAGTCGCTTCGCTGCGCGCGATTGCTGTGGCGTGCACGCGGGTCGTGTTATACGCAGGCGCTGTGGTGCACGCGGAATGTATTTGTGGCCGCAGCTGCGTTGTGGAAAGGTGTTGTGGCGTGCGCGTTAAAAGTTGCGTGCGCAGGCGTTGCGGTGCACAGGATCAGTGCCATGCACCCATGCATTATGATTCACACAGGCGATGTGGTGCATGCGTAGGTTGCTGCATCCGTTTGTGTGGTGAGAGCGGGCATTGCTGGGTCAGCGCGCCTTGTGGCGATCGTAGCATCTATGCCCTTTCGCTGTCTCAGTACCAACGGTGGCAACGGGGGCAGTGCTCCCAGAACGGAGAAGCAGCCGAGCTGCCCGGCACGACTGTGTTATGTTCTGTGCCAACGAACCCACCCACACACCCAGCCACACAACGCGCGTCATGCGGTTCCAAAAGAATTTGATGTTTTCGTCAGGTCGCAACCCTCAACGGATGGCACGGTCTAGTCTGAATCAGCGCACCCATGTTTCTGGCCCTCCCAGCAGTCCTGGAAAGTGGCAACGGTGTTGCAGATCGCGCCCCCCCCCCGGGGGACGGCGAGGTCGAATCTGGGTCTGCGCTCGGTGCCCACTACACGCTGGCCTTCCAAGCAACCCTCGAAACGTGGCGACACGTTTTCATAGCGCAGTCCCCGACGGGCGGTGCTCTAATTTGGGCTTGCGCTCAAATCCACAACTATGCCCCCCCGCAACCTTCACAAGTTGCGACAGTCTAGCAGAGCGCATCCCCCTCCCCTGCCCAGGGATGGTGGGGTCCCATCAGAATCTGAGCTGGGTACCCACGACGGTGGCCCTCCCAGCAGGTCTTGAAAGTGGCGACAGTTTCGCAATTCGCAGCCCCCCAGGAATGGCGAGGTCTGGTCCGATTCTGCGTTTGGTGCCGACTACGCTGGCCCTCCCAGCAGCCTTCAAACGTGGCGGCGGTCTCGCAGATCACAGCCCCCCAAGGATGGCGAGGTCGAGTTTGAGTTTGCGTTCGGTGCCCACTATGCTGGCCCTCCCAGCAGCCACTCCGCAAGTGGTAACATGTTCGCACTTCGTAGCCCCCCAGCGAGCCCTCAGGCAGGACGACGAGGCAGGAGGCAGAAAGGAAGAGAGGAGGAAGGAGAGGCGGGATAAGGTGGAGATCGCAGTTCTGTTTTCAAAACGAGAACCCAACACAGGAGGGTTGGGAACAAGTAGTCGTTGTGCGATTATGTGTTCGGTATATGCTCTCCCAAGCATGAGGGCCGCAACATACGTAGTCACACCCCTGTTCGGTATGGGTTCGCTGGGCTGCTGAGCGCGCGAGCGGCAGTACATTGGATTGGTTGTTCACGCAGCTCTTCTCATCCTATTGCCTGGCCAGTCCGGCATCGCGAGAGACGTACCAGCTGTTTCTGTCGCGTGTAGTTTCTGAAGCGCTACATCCGGATGGCCAGCGCAGCAACGTCTGGCTGGGTGCAACTGTTTTACGGCTCGCCGCTTCCCATGGGTATCGGCTTGCGGCGCCCGGAGCTACTCTAAATCATTACGTCAACGATCGCGACCAGCAGGGATGGTATCACGCAGTTTACTGCGGCTATCTTTTAGAACCGCCTGATGCGCGTCAATTTCAGCATCTAGTCGTGGGTACATGCATGTACGGCAATTTCACCGACGACGACGGGAACTTCATGGGCGATTTTCTTGCCAATGGGAATGACATGGACGTGCTCGCGTGTTCGACCTTCTTCTGCGGCGGTCGTGCCATCCAAGTTGATGCCCAGGAAAGTCCTGAGAAGGAAGCTCACTGGAAACGCAGCGCTGATGATGAACCCGCCGAGCGCCGTGGCTCCTACTTCGTCAAACATTGTGACGCACGCTTGAACACGCATGGCATCGCAGCGTGCACATTCGGGCTGCTGCGCATCGTTGACGCGGTCATTGGAGAGCTTTGGCAGCGACAGTATCGTGCTCGGTGCCGTCTTCGACATGGCCAAAATTCCGGATTGTACCGCCGAGAAAGGGGCCGATTTTGACCTTAGCTGTGACTCTATGCCTGTGTCCGCGGCGTGATCGTGCTTAATAAAACAGTGATTTCGCTTGGGACACGGCAATGAAAATTCCAGCGGCGGCGGCGATTTCGGCGGCTGATATTCGATGGCTATTTCGGCGGACTTCGCAAATATTTCGGCGCAATTTCGGCGGCAAGTTCGGCGGCAAGTTCGGCGTCAATTTCGGCGGCGATTTCGGCGGCGACTTCGGCGGCGATTTCGGCGGCGATTTCGGCAACGATTTCGGCGGCCCTTTCGGCGGCCGTCCTGGCGCCCCTTTCAGGGCCATTTCGGCGGTTTTGCTCGTGACAGTTGTCGACGAATGCTGCTGGGAGCTCGCAGCACTCGGCTGTGACAAAGAGTCGATGTGCGGCGACGCAGGCTGACGTGCCCTCAGCGCGACGATGATTGTAACATTTGTGTTCTTTTGGTCTTGGCGGTGATGATGGCGACGGCCGCGGTAATGTTTGGTTCAAAATGGATGCTCGTCAGGCGGACCTGCGCGCCCAGCGCTGCATGCTTTCAAACGATTAAAAAATGCTGCGGAAATCCTTCGGAATTCGGTTGCTATTTTGGGGGTCGTGATGGCTCCAAAGGGTGGTCCTCGGTTTCGGCGACAGGCTGGCGCACGGACCTGCCGAATGCAGGGCCGCAGTATGATGCTTGGGATGGGCCCTGCCGCGTCCTGCGTACGCCCCGGCGCATTGTCGAATAATTCTTGCCGCGGTTGATCTCAGCGTGGTTACAATGTTGCATCGCACGAGCTTGTAGTCTGAATAGCGGGTGCATCCAGCCCCCGTCGTTATGTGAAGTCATCGTTTGGGTGGCGCTGTGGAGTCCCATATTGCCTTCAGTGCCTGTTTTGCCTTCGGCGCACCTTTTTCGCTAGTTGCCCCGCTTTAGCGAAGTACTCGTACAGTGCAGTGCTTGGGCGCAGAGTCAGCTGCTGATACACAAGACACGCAGCAGGAGGAGAGGCGACGATCGACGGTCGAGGCCCTGGTCTGGCCTCCAGAGGATTCTGGGGGCGGGGGCTTCCGGAGATCGCAGGGGTTGAGAGACCCCCGGAGACCTGCTCATCCAGGAGGTGCAGTCCCTCCGCCCTCTTCTACCACGAGGAGGGCCAGCACACCACCGCAACCCAACCCGAAGGCTCCGATTTACCCTCCATTTCCAGTGGGGGGGTCGGGAAATATTGGAAAACACGTATGGAACCCGTACCCCCCCCCAACCCGACATTCGGGTCGTCGGGTTGGGTTGGGGTGGTCTGGTAGGCAGTCAACGAAGGCCGCTGATCTGACCAGGCCGATCCGTCGAACGGGATCCCGCAGGCGGCCGATGGGTCTCTCGTTCGGCGGGGCGCCCGGCGCTCGGGGCATCACAGGGCGGGCCGCATCGGCACCTGGATCGGCCCAGGCCGCCCGGACGCGGACGGAGGGCCGTGCCACATCGGCAATGCGGCGCGGTCCGGCACCCGATGGTGTTCGTCCCGACGTCGCTGGCGCGTGGCCGATGCGTCGGCGATGCAGCGGGGCCCACTGGAGCCACTTGCGCTCTGGCCCCATCTTGGGCCGCCTCCAGTCGGGCCCGCCACCGGGGTGCGGAGGCCCTGCCTCTCCTGCGTGGGCGTGGCCACCCAGTTCAAGCGCTGCTACCCCCAAGTGGCCTTCAACTTCACGTTCTCGCCGCGGGAGCACGGGTGGGGGCAGAAGGGCCACCGCAGCGGCGCGCGCACCCTTCGTTGTCCTCTTCCTCGGTCAAGTGGCGCGGGAGGTTCTTTGGCCGGGGTGCCGGGCAAGTCAGTCTCATCATCTCTCGCCCCTCGCCGCCGGCACAGCCCCACCACGGAAGGTTCTTCCGCCTCCGCATCATCCTCCCCTCATTCGCCTCCGTCTTTCCTCCCCTACCCCATCTCCTGCGGTTATACGGTTCGTTCCTTGCTGACTCATCTCAATCCCCTGTTGAGATCCAGCCACCCCCACACCTCCTCCTCCTCCTCCTCCTCCTCCTCCTCCTCCTCCTCCTCCTCCTCCTCCTCCTCCTCCTCCTCCTCCTCCTCCTCCTCCTCCCGATGTTCCTGCTCCAGCTCCTGCTCTCCTCGTGCTGCCCCCAGTAGGAGGGGCCGTCCCCGCCCTTGCACAGCCTCACCTCCTCCCCACATGTGCCCTTGTCGCTCCTCCCTCCTCCATCCTCCCACCCCTCCTGCCCCAGCCCCCGGGAGGGAGCAGGCAGGTGGAACGGCATGGAGGGAGGAGGCGGAGTGGGGGGGAGGAAGGAGGAAGGGAAGGAGGGACTCAGAGCGTGAATGACCTACCTCGCTTTCGCTTCCAGGCAAAGCCAAGTCATACCACGCGCCTCCCCGTCGAGCGGCCTGACCAGTGCGGGCCGTAGTTTGGCATCGCTTGGTAGCTCTTGGAAGCGAGGGTGTTCAAAATCGAGGTAGGCTCGTTTGCCCCCTGGGGACGGAGAGGAGGGAGCCGAGGGGGGACGTGGAGGAGGGGGAGGAGGAGGGAGGCCCTCCTCATTGCCTCCTCGTCCCCCCCCCCCGCGCGGGGGGCTCCTCTTCCTCCTGCGACGCCCCTCCGTCTCCCTCGTTTCTTCCAGAGCTCGAGGCCGCGCAGAGTTCGCACTGCGGCCCTGGCGCTGGCCAGGCGGAGGGGGAGGAGCAGCTCCAGTCGTGGATCCAATGCCCGCTTTTTGAGGAGAGCAGGGAGGATGACGAGGAGGAAGAGGAGGAGGAGGAGGAGGAGGAGGAGGAGGAGGAGAAGGAGGAGGAGGGGCACTCGCTTCAATATCTTGGGGAAGGAGTGCCAGCGCCCAACAGCTGCTGGCAAGAAAGCACCTGGATAGGCTCGCCAGAGGACTCCTCCCGCCAAATCGGGATGCCTGGCCAGACGAGTCAAGGCCAAGTGCAGGGTGAGTCATCCAGCCCCATCTTTCAAGGGCCCTGGCATCTGTACCAGACTCAGGCCCTCGTGTAGTCTTGCCCAGGAGGAGGAGGAGGAGGAGGAGGAGGAGGAGGAGGAGGAGGAGGGAATGGAGGAGGAAGGGAAAGATTGGGGAGTGGGGCGATTGGTTATGTCTGTGTCCCGTTGGGCCGTTGGGTCTTTCTGTGCCCATGGTCGTTGACATTTTCCGGTTCGCTGCCCCGATGGGGTTTTCTGCGTCCGCCAAATTGCGTTGCCACTTGTGAGACGGCTTGGCTATCTATGGGTTTAGTGCCCTGGTGGTGGAGGTGTCATGTGGTAAATTGTTCGATTCGGGTGTTGTTCAAGAGGCCCGTTGGACCATGTCTAAGTCCGTCCGTCACCACGTGTGGAGGCCATCGCGTGTGTGTGGGTGTGTGTATGTCTGTGTGTGTGTGTTGTGGGCGCGAGCGGTTTGAGCGTCCCGCCGCGATGGTAGATACGGTAGCACGGCTATGCCACAACGCAGCGTGGCCGATGATACCATCGCAAGGTTCTACCAACCATCTCAAACCCTCCAGTCATCCAAAACCTGCGAACCTTGAAGTCGCAAGCCTTCCGAACCTTTCAAACCCTTTGCATTCTGCGCGCCATCAGAGTTCCGAGATGTGCTGGTCTCCTTGGCGCCAGGCCAAGAAATCTTGCCGACGTCTCTTGCCTCTTCCCTCGCACCGGCACTCGCCTTTGCGGTCCTGCCTCCTTCCTGTTGTCCACCAGCGGGGCCCGTCGCGCCAAGCAAGGACAAACGGGATTCGGTGCCTCAGCCCCGTGGCGGCTCTTGGTTGCCCCAGGATTACCACAAGGACGCCACTAGACGGCCAGGAGGGCCCGGGACGTCCTTTAGGACGGTTTCGAACGGCCCCGAGGAGAGCCTCAAGAGCCCAGGACGGCCGAAGATGGCCCTGTCTCGGAGAGGGTCTCGGAGACCCGCCCGAGAGAGCACAACATCTATAGCAAGTCGTTGTGATTGCTGGGGTTGTTTGTCAGTCCAGTGGTTTGCTGCCCAGACGCCCCAAACTCATTCGAGTCGGCTCCGAGAATGCCCAGAATAGCCCAGCGGGGCCCCCGAAGGCCCCCAGATGCCGCCAAGATCTTGCAGAATGTCCCCACGAGGCCCAGCACGCTCCGAGACAGCTCCGAGATGGCCCAAGCACGCATTCGAGGCCTGGGCCTCCCAGGTAGGGTCCGGGCCGATGGGGTCGGAGGATCGCGCCGCCTCGCCGGTGCATCGGCGAGGCGGCTCGATGTGGAGCCCGATGACCTCCGCGCCGGCGTCGCCGCTGCATCGCCGACCTCGCCAATGCATCGCCGATGCATCATCGATGCGCGCGATCCTCCGACCCCACCAACTCGGACCCCATCGAGGAGGCCTCTACCTGGAGAAACGGCCCCAGGAGGCCGAAGGAGGAGAACGCTGACATATTTTTTGGGGGGCAGGGCAGAAAAAAAGCTCGGAGGCCTGAGCCAGAAGGTGCTCGAGGCTTGGAGGAGCAGGCCCTAGCTCGCGCGCTACGTGCGCAGCGACGCGGGGACTCTTGAAACGAGTGCACGGGCAGGGTGTTGACCCCACGGTGCCCCCCTATTGCGCCAGGAGGTGGTCGAGGGCCCCGACGTGGCGGTCGCGGTGGCGCCCCACACGCCCCGGCTCGTCCCGGGTGCGCCCTCGGACGGCGCCGCCGGCAAGGGCAAGGGCAAGGCGGCCGCCTCCGCGGAGCCGCCCGTGGATAAGAGGGGCCCTGGGGAAGCCCCTCGGCCTCCCAAATGAGGCGCCCCAGAAAGGGCCTCGCCCTCGAGGATCGAGTGAGTTGCCATCTCTTCTGCGGCGGAAGGCGGCGGAAGGGCGGCGGAAGCTGGCGGAAGTAAGACTGGGCCGCCTCCGCGGGCGGAAGTCGGCGGAAGGCTAGCGGAAGTTGGCGGAAGCAAAAGTCGACCTGCAAGAGACGACATTTTTATTTGGTCGAGGGTTCCCATATTCCGCCCAATGGAGCCAGAGTAGATGGTGTCGGAGGATCGGTCCAGAGCCCGGTGTTTTCCTCGCAAGCGTCGCCGATGCATCGGCGACGCGGCGCGATTCTCCGATGTGCATGTATTCAGACGCGATTTCGAAGGCGCCTGGGGAGAGGGGCCCCTGAGGGCCACCGAATTGGGGCCTCAACGGAGGGTAAGAACTTTCACCGTCTCTGGCCCCGCGGGAGGAGCCAAATGAGAAAGAATTGCATACATATATACTTATACGACCACCCTTCGGGTGATAAGGCGGTCGTGGGGTGGGACGGGACCAACATCTCACTCAAATAATCTCACCATCGGAAACATACCGTCGAGGGCACCATCGAACAAAAAATCCAGGACACCAAAGGAGCACCAATCGGGACACCGACATAACACCGACAGGACACCAACGAGACATCAACGGGACACCGACAGGACACCCACGGAGGGACGCCAACGGGACACCTACAGGACACCGACGGGACACCGAGGGTACAACGGGAAAACGACGGGACACCGACGGAGCACCGACGGGACGACCCCGGCCCACCGGACTGGCGTTTTTTTTGTTTTTCCCGCTCTAGCCACGCTGGGGTTATTCCTTTCGCCCACCCACGCAGTTTCGCCTTGCATACACGGCACGAACCCGAAACCGATTTTCCAGTGGGGAGCTCTTCGCTCCATTGGGAGATCACCCTGTATCTGTTTGTTTATATACATATATGTGTATGTGCCTATAGATGTTTGTATGTATGTATCAATGTGTGTGCATACATACATGCATACATACATGCATGCATGCATGCACACAGACAGACAGACAGACAGACAGACAGACAGACAGACAGACAGCCAGACATAATTTTATACATCTATACATTTATATTTATATACGTATATGTATATGTATATGTGTACCCAATCATATATCATATCATATCCCTCCACCGCGCCTCGATGTACGAAGTGGAGTGTCCTCAGTTCCTCAAGGGTTCCCTGGTCTCTGTACTCATGACTAGAGGATGATTGTATTCTAGGAGCCGGGGGCCCAAATACTCAAATTTTCCCGGCGTTCCCGCGCGCTCTCGCGCGTTCTTGGGCTCGGTCGCATGGATTGCTACAAGGACCCAAGACAGGCCAGGAGGGCCCCAAGAAACGCCTAGGAGGCAGCCCAAGAGCGCTTCGAAACGCCCAAGATGGCCCCAAGACGGCCCAAGAGACCCCAAAGAAGCACCAATAGCGCTCCACGGGGACCTCCAAGAGGGCACGATCCGTGTCATATACCACGCGGGCCACTCGCGCGCGTCGGCCGCGCGCGCATCTGGAACTCCGTCATCGCCGACGCGAGGATATCGTCATCGTTATCGGCGGGCGTGATCAACATCGGCGCCGTCAGTGGCCTTGCACTCGTCATCGCCACCATCGTCGCTACTCTCATAATCGTGTTCACCGTTGTCGGCCGGGCCATGACACCGCGCCCGCCCAAGTCACCGACTCGCACCGAAGTGCTCGGTGGTGCCCAGCGGTCAGCGCCACCGCGGCCGCGTCGGTCGCGCCAAACTAGCTGGCCGTTGCGCTCGCGAGCATGCGCGGGCTAGCGCGGCCGCAGAGATGCACCAGCCAACGCCAGGCATTCATCGCAATCGCCGCCGCCTGGGTTTTGCAAACCAAGTTGCGGAGGGGTGGGTGGGATGTTTGCAACTGCGTGGATTGTGTCAAACCATTTGTAAAAATCAATTGCGCCACGGAGATCTTCCTCCCCAAAAGAGTATTCGGATGCACCCCCCCGGGGTTATTGACACACCCCTTTGTATTGTAAAGGACATGCGATTCTGCCCCACTGTCCATCCTAACTATGAACTCGTACCAACCCCACCAGGCCGGAGGTCGCCCCCCTTCCCCCCACCATCTTTTGCAACAAATGCTATGCGCGCATTCGTTTATCAAAGATCATCATGTTTCAAGCATCCCTTGCCAAAAATATTCCCACGGAAAGACCCAACATGAAAACCTGTTCGTTTTATCTGCAAATGACCTTCGCTGTCGTCCTCGCGATTAGTGATGCGCCCTTATTGTCTTCTCTGCGTCATTTTCACTCTCGCCCTGAAGTGCGGGCCCCATAGGGAGGGGGCTCCCGCTTGAGACTTCCTTACAATTCACTCACAGACGAGGGTTCCGCCTGATATTTCTTCCATATTCATGCTTCACGAGCCCAAAAGTTGCGACACTTACAGGTTCGATGGTGACCCGCTCGGATTACCAACATGAAGTGCGGGCCCCATAGGGAGATGGCTCCCGCTTGAGATTTCCTCACAGTTCACTCACAGACGAGGCTCCCGCCTAATATTTTCCCCATATTCAGGCTTCAGGGGCCGGACGATAGTCACAGGTTCGAGGATGACCCGCTCGGATTCAAATTGCAAGTGCGGTCCCCATATGGATGGGGTTCCCGCCTGAGACTTCTTCGCAATTTACTTACCGACGACGATCCCGCTCGAGACGTCCCCCATTTTCAGGCCTCAGGAACCCAGACATGAGTTACAGGTTCGAGGATGACCCGCTCGGATTGCCAACGTCAAGTGCGGGCCCCATAGGGAGGGGGCGACGACGCTCCCGAACCAGACTTCCCACATATTCAGGCATCAGGAGCCCAAAAATGACGACCGTTACAGGTTCGAGGATGACCCGGTCAGATTACCAGCGTGGAGTGCTGGCCCCATAAGGAGAGAATTCTCGCCTGAGACCCCCTCGCAATTCACTCACAGACGAGGCTCCCGCCTGATACTTCCCCTATATTCAGGCCTCAGAGGCCCAAAGGTTGCAACAGTTGCAGGTTCGAGGATGACCCGTTCGGATTATCAACATGAAGTGCGTGCCCCATATGGATGGGGCTCCCGCCAGAGACCTCACAATTTACTCGCAGACGACGCTCCCGCTCGAGACGTCCTCCATATTCAGGCTAGGGGGTGAGTGGTGACGAAGTGATGAATGAGCGAGTGATGATGATGAGTGGTGATGATGATGGTGATGATGCTGATGGTGATGAGTGATCGAGTGCTTATTATGGTGATGCTTAATGATTGATGATGGTGAGGAGGATGATGGTGTGGTGGTGGTGTGTTCCTGCGCGGGGCGTCCAGAGAATCTGATGTTGAATGATGAGAGAGAGTGTGTGTGTGTGTGTGATGTGCGGCTGAGTATGATGTTGATGGCGGTGGTGGTGATGTTGATGATGATGATCGATGGCCGATGGTGGTCGTGATCGATGGTGAGTGACTGAGTCTGGTGATGATGGTGGTGATGATGATGACGGATGGTGATGATGCCCGATGACGGGGTGAATGCGTGAGTGAGGCGGATCATGGGAGGGAGGTGAGGTTCCTGCGCGGGGGGGTGTCCAAAGAGAGCAAGAACCCCACTCTGGACGTCGGGAAAAAATGGCGAAGTGCACACGCGCGCGTCGTCGCACGCGCATGCCGAAATGTTTCGAATTCCTTGCTGATCGTAAGGATGTTAAAATCGAATGGCCCAGAAACGTATTTGAAAATTACGCTACCGAGGACCCCCACATACTTATATTATGGCTGGGGTGATTATGGCTGAAGTGAAGCATGTGAGAATGATATTGGTGGCCGTTGCCCCGCCGATACCGTTGGTGACGCCATTCAAGGGGAGAGGTGAAAGAGGAGAAGCGCCGCGCCAGCCACAGTTTGCGAGCCCGGTGACCTGGACGACCGGCGCGCAGAGCGGCCGCGGTGAGGGACCACCCCCTGCGCAACCCGTCTGGCGTCGAGAAAGCGCCACGCTTGCTATGCCTTGGACGACCGTCGTGCATAGTGGCCGCGGTGAGGGACCAACCCCTGCGCACCCTCTATGGTGTCGAGAAAGTGCCACGCCTGCCATGCCCTGGACGACCAGCGCGCATAGCGGCTGCGGTGAGGGACCACCCTCAGCGCACCCCCTGTGGTGTCGAGGAAGTGCCACGCCTGCTATGCCCTGGGCGACCGTCGTGCATAGCGGCCGCGCTCAGGGACAACCCCCAGCGCACCCCCTGTGGTGTCGAGGAAGTGCCACACCTGCCACGCATTGCGAGCCCGCAGCGGATAGGGAGACCACCCCCAGCGCACCCCCTGTGGTGTCGAGGAAATGCCACGCCAGCTACGCTTTCCGACGCCGCAACGGATAGGAAGACCACCCCCAGCGCACCCCCTGTGGTGTCGAGGAAGTGCCACGCTTGCCACGCTGTGCGAAGCCGCAACGGACAGGGAGACCACCCCCAGCGCACCCCGTGTGGTGCCGAGGAAGTGCCACGCCTGCCACGCTGCGCGAGGCCGCAACGGATACGGAAACCACCCCCAGCGTTCCCCCTGTGGTGTCGAGGAAGTGCCACGCCTGCCACGCATTGCGAGGCCGCAACGGATAGGGAGACCACCCCCAGCGCACCCCCTGTGGAGTCGAGGAAGTGCCACGCCTGCCACGCTGGGCGAGGCCGCAACGGATAGGGAAACCACCCCCAGCGCACCCCCTGTGGTGTCGGGGAGGTGCCACGCCTGCCCGCTTTGCGAGCCCGCAGCGGATAGGGAGACCACCCCCAGCGCACCCCCTGTGGTGTCGAGGAAGTGCCACGCCTGCCACGCTGTGCGAGGCCGCAGCGGATAGGGAGACCACCCCCAGCGCACCTCCTGTGGTGTCGAGGAAGTGCCACGCCAGCCACGCTTTGCGAGCCCGCAACGGATAGGGAGACCACCCCCAGCGCACCCCCTGTGGTGTCGA